GAATCAGTCAAGACACCATTTTTTATTCCCATTTGGCAGTGTGGTTTCACTTATTTGACCGCAAATTCCTTTGAATTTGACATAGTGAAAATAAGCCTTTTGTGTGCTTAATGTCTCAAAAAATAAAATTGCGCGCCTAGGTGCACAGTTTTTTTTTTATTTTATTTAATAAACAAAAGCATAATCTATGAGCCAGTACTAAAACTAAATCTTGACAAGCCTATAAAAGCACCAAATTTAAAATATAAAGCTACAACATTGACTGTTTTAAGATGGACGTATATCAAAGGGAAAGTAGCGAGTGAAGTTTTAATGGCTAGCTTTCAATAGATCGGTTATTTAATTTTAGAAAAATATATTTAACTCAACTTTTGCCAAAATTGGTAAATCTGACCTTTGGTCGGACTTTGTTTGAGTCACAGTATATATTTTATCTCTCCAAGTAAATTTGAAAAAGTAGTAGTTAAATTCAGAATATTTTCTTAGCATGCATGACGCGAAAAATTGTTTAAATGTCTTTGATTTGACAACGGTTGACAACAGTTGTGGCTTGAGCTAATTTAATTCATACTAAAAACCGTTTTATTATTTTTCCATTTTATATCGTGACCCATAAAAGCCGGCGGTAAAGAATTTTCGTAGCATGAATGGTAGCTAAAAAACCATAGTCGTTGCTTGGACTAATTTGCTCGTTTGCCAGACTGCCAGACCACTTGCTTAATTTAGTGAATACCCCTAATATTTTAAAAATGTATTCTGCTGCAATATTAACTTTTATGTTAGTATCAGCTGATCTCTTGGCATAATACTAGTAGCGGTCGAAATTGATATTATTAAAAGTTAGCACATTAAGGACCGTTTTCTGAAGTAAACTTTAACTTCAAAGCTTACTATATATTTAAAGGTTGGATCAAAAATATAGCTATGTCTAAAGCATTTCTATTATCGGTTTTCGACGCATGTATGTTTCTTCGTTGTACACCAATTTAAAACCGATAATAAAATCATAAATTTTAATTCAAAAAAATAAGGTGAGCTTTAAAGTAACAGGTTACTTGAGAAAACGGTCCTGATAATAATAGATTGGCGCTTAAACATATGTAAGCGTGCGCCTTGATGTTTTCATGGTAGAAGTATACTCGGAGGTTTGCCATTGCCCACCGAGCGGCGACCTCTATTTAATTTTTTTTATGTGAGCTTGGACCCAGGCCTAATAAATACCAATAAATCTTTTTGGCGGATGAAGTAAAATCAAAAGAGAACTAATATGTTTGAAGAATAACTAGTCTTTAGTGGGACTTCATTTGGCTTATAGAAAAGTTCGAAAATGCATGGGCAGTAGTCAAACATGTATTTTAGGTATCAATAAAAAAAAAATATTAAAAATCGAAAACACAGTTCCCCTACAATTGAGTTTTATGTGTATTTAATTACTATAAGTATGTGTATTAGGATTACATTGCTGCTATTTATCACTGCTTTCTTGTCAATTAGGTATATCAGTTAATATTCCAATCCTCTCAAAAAAATAAACAAACACAACAGTGCTTTCGTTTTGTTCACCTATACATATATTAAGTCAAATTTGCCAACTTCGTACATCTTTCAATGTAAAGATATGTGAAAAACTAAAAACTTATTTAATTTAATAAAAAACACAATATTGATAAAAAAAAACCATATAGTGTTTGTTTCAAACTAACTAAAACATATACATACAATTTGTTGCCTTTGTCGGTATGTTGTTTACTTTAAACATAATTTTTTTTTTATTTTTTTTTCGTTTAAAATTCACAGCTGCCTTTTCATAATAAGGGGGAAAAACTATATACATATGCATACGTAAATTTGCTTAATTAAAATTTCCTGGAATTGTACCAAAAAACCGAAAAAGACTCCGCTTGAAAGAAATAAGAAACATGTTTTTTTCTTCAAAGGCCCTTTAACCCTTCCTTGAAAAGTTAATAAGAGGTGGTGTCGAGGAACAGTGCAAGTTTATGTAAAACTTTCAAAAGTGGAATACTTGCAAAAGCTCACCATCCCTAAATACCGTACACACGTCACTCATACGCCACGTACTCCAACACAGTATGCACTTTTTCATGCGCATTTTCAATTTGCTTCGGTTCACCGGTCACACCGCTCTGAAATAAAAAAATGCCGAAAATGTATGTAAAAATATCGGTGCAAATACATAAATTCAAGCAATCCAGTGTAAAATAAATCCTGCTGCATGAGCATAAAAAATGTTTTCGTGCGCCGCAAAAATTGGATATGCCTGAGCCGGCTTTAACTTTTCTGGCTTGTTGACTTCTGCTCGATAACATAAACGCTAGGAATTTGAGGAAGCAAAAAGCTTCGCCTAAACTTGAGTTAACGGCAAAAGGTTGTGCGCTGCACATTGCAATCACCTCCCAACGCTGCCGCGCACACATGGATTGAGGCAAAGGCCTCACGTGACAACCGATACACTTTTTTTTGCGCAAAGTATGTAATAAAACGAGTCCCTTTCAGCTTACGCTTTTTGCTGCTTAAACTTTCAATGCGGATTGCCCCTTCGATGTCCTGGTTGTATTGGTT